TCTATAAATGAACCTTATCCAACTAGAAATGAACCTTATCCAACTAGAAGTTCGGATCTTGATGCAAATGAAGGGTTCCGATAGCACCCTCTGCTGCTAGTGATGGTAGGAAAGCCGTTCCCTATATATGTGTGTGTGTGTGTGTGTATGTGTCTCTTGTTAGTACTCCTAGCCATGTGTCTCTTGTTGGTACTCCTAGGAGTACATACTCCTAGCCATGTGTCTCTTGTTGAATTTTCCTAGCATCATATCCATTTAAATTTTGATTTAAATAATAATAGTAAAAAGGCTAGGTTGTTGGCGCTCCGATTTTCTAGTCATTTTATTTGCTAATTCAACCACCTCTGAGCTTATCCGTTTCTACACCAGTTGCATCGACATCTAATGGCAGCGGCCGCTCGCACGGCCGCACGGGCCACATCACCGGCTTCCAGAAGGAGATCCCTCGGCAGTGGCCTGCATGGAAGCAGACCAGCGGCGCACTGCTAGGATCAAGTGAGGAAAATGTTTGTCGGCGGCTACTTGCACATCTAGATACGTCGTGATTTTCTTCTGTCTTTGGTAGAGGTTCTAGTTTCTTCCCGTGTGAAAACTGACATGATGAAACCCCCAACAGGAGAGCCAACAAACTAGAGAGCAGAGATGATGTGCGGATTTTATCAATATTTCCATCTAATTCTAACAGCTGCGTGTGATAATGGACCGTATGGACTTGTATTCTACAACGGAGCTACACAAGCGATGTCGGTCGTCGACGCCCCACGGCTCAAAGCATGATGAAGCAGCAAGGGCAGGAGAGCCGCAGCATCTGCCGTGATGGTAGCACGTGGCCACAACTCCCATAGTGCCCAGCTCCTCTGAATGGACGTCAGATCAGAGATGCTACTACAAATATAATTCATGAGTTGATTGCTTGTTACTTCATGCATCTTCAACTGATGGCGTTTCTTGAAGCATTTGTCTCCTAATTATTTTGTCTACATGTACGGAAGATGCAGAGTGAAGTACTAATCTATGATCATTTGTTTGCTACGTATCCTGCGTCACGGGCTTCGTTTTCAATGAAATACTTGGGGCTTCCTTTCTCGGTGTGGAAGCTTAGAAAGGTCGACTACCAGTACCTAGAGGACAAAGCGGCCGCTAAGTTGACCACTTGGGATGGCCAAAATATCACTGCCATTGGTCGGTGTGCCCTTGTGAAGTCGGTGCTGTCTTCACAGCTCGTCTTCTCCATCACGCCGCTCATTGTGCCAACGTCCACTCTACACAAGATAAACAAGCTCGAAAGAGCCTTTCTCTGGGAGGGCACGGACAAGACCACTGGTGCAAAATGCAAGGTGAATTGGGATGCGGTGTGCCGGCGAAAGGATCTTGGTGGCCTTGGCATACTTAACACGGAGAAATTTGCTTGGGCTCTTCGCTTGCGCTGGTTATGGTTTGAATGGAAAGAGCCCACCAAGCTTTGGGTGGGTATGAGAAACCCGTGCAACACGATGGACTACTCCTTATTTTATGCCTCCACGTCAATCTTTGTTGGAAATGGAGCAAGGACGCCTTTTTGGGATGCGCCATGGGTGAATGACCGCAAGCCTAGGGACATTGCACCACTAATTTACGAGGCGTCCACGAAAAAAAATTGGAAGGTGCGCGAAGCTCTCAGCAACAATGCGTGGGTCTCGAGAATACGCATCCCAGACTCTTTTTCGCTGAATCACTTACGTCAGTTTGTCACCCTCTGGACAACGCTTCGTGGCTTCCATCTCGAGGAGGATGCCGAAGATGATATTGTATGGAAGCACACCGCTAGCGGGCAATACACGGCCGAGTCAGCATACAAAGCGCAATTCCTTGGCACAATCAAATCCCCTATGGAGCACACTGTGTGGAGGGCTTGGGCTCCCCCCAAAGTCAAGTTCTTCGCTTGGCTGGCTATTCAAAACAGAATTTGGACGGCAGACAGATTGGAGAAGCGCGGATGGCCAAACTGTGGCCTTTGTACACTTTGCAAGCAGAAGCAAGAGTCTGTTGACCACCTTTTCTACAAATGCCGCTTCTCTATCCGCCTATGGGGATTAGTCAAGGACTGGCTGCAACTGGTGAGCATTGATACTTCCTCATGGCACCTCTCAGGCAACATCGAAGAGTGGTGGGTGGGCCTCTCCGACACATCTATCCCCAACAGAAAGGCGATGGCCTCGCTCACCATGCTAGTCGCCTGGACCATTTGAAACGAGAGGAATGCGCGAGTGTTCCGTCAGAAGAGTGCTCCGCCGACGGTTCTACTCGCCAACATTAAGAAGGAGGCCACGCTTTGGGTATCAGCGGGTGCAAGCAAGTTGGGATACTTGATGACGCGAGAGTAGTTGGTCACCTTTATTTCGGGTGTTGCAGCGCTGTCAGTGTTGTAACACGAACATAAACTCTATTCCTCTTATTTAATGAATGAGGCAAATCTTTTGCCTCTCTTCAAAAAAAAAACTATGCTCCTGATCTAAATACTAAAGTTGTATACGTTGTATCAACTCACTTGATCTAAAATATTGTACTGCTACTTTGTGCTTTCTAAAATATGTTGTATGTACTCCCTTGTTTTCTAACAAATGTAGTATATACTCCTTTGTTTTCTATCAAATGTAGTATATAGTTGCCTTGGAGCATATATTCTGATGAAGTATATACTTATTTTCATTACAGGCAATTCATGCTGCTTCCGAAGGAAAAAAACAGCATATACTTCCTCTTTGAAACTTAAACAGTATATAGTCCATAAAAATTAAGCAGTATATACCCTGTAAACGCAATACACAATCCTTCAAATAAAAAGTATATTCTCCAGAAAAAACAGTATATACCACCCATAAAAAGCCTTGGCGTACTTCTTAAAATTAAAGTATGTACTCAAAGAAAAAATCAGTATGTACTCCTTAAAACAACGCAGTATATACTCCTTGGAATCAGTATATGCTCCTTTAAAAAGCAGTATATACCCCATAAAAATATATAGTCTTCTTCAAACTTCTGTGTGATAAGTGTCTTCATGGATATACTACTCCATTTCATCCAACAACGTAGACATCACGCATTATACTACCAGTAAATCATATCCCGATTCGTGATTAATAATTAAATAGTACTGCACACACGCTCCCATGATTCTAGTCAAGTAGTTCCATGCAGTATCCGTTAAGAGGTGGGAGTATATGTACTCTTGGGAGTACAGAAAAGGTGTCCGGACTCCTTTTTTATACTCCCAAGAGTATGTACTCCCATCCCTCCCGTCCTAGTGAATATGCTGGATGGATAAACCCGATAGACCACGTAATTAGCATGCATAACTACTTCCTACGAGTGGGCATCCAGCCGCTAGCTTTAATTAAATAATTAGGAAATTTGGTACGTAACTTGCACTCCTCAGCTAGCTAGCGTACATCTTGGACATTTTTGTTAAAAATGAGTGTACATTATAAGTACATGTGTACGAGTTATAGTTCATTAACAATTTACGAGTAGGTATACCTAAAGCAAGAAAAAAGATTATGAAGGTATAGCTTAAGCAATTTCCATTTTCATGGACTAGATAATAGCCATTCTTAAAGTGTAGACTGCACTTTTCTAAGGATTCGATAAGCTGCAAAAAAATTCTAGGAGTATATACTAACGTTTCTTCTTCAATGGATTTTTCTGACATTATTTTGAAGGAGTAGATAGTGCATTTTTATAAGGAGTATATGCTGATTCTATATACTGCAATTTTTTCTAGGAGTATACACTGATGTTTCTTCTTCAAGTGAATTTTCTCACTTCATTTTGAAGGAGTATATAGTGCATTTTATAAGGAGTATATACTGATTCTATATACTGCATTTTTTTCTAGGAGTATATACTAATGTTTCTTCTTCAAGGGAATTTTCTGACTGTATTATGAAGGACTATATAGTGCAATTTTATTAGGAGTATATGCTAATTCTATATACTGCATTTTTTTTCTAGGAGTATATACTAACGTTTCTTCTTCAAGGAAATTTTCTGACTTTATTTTGAAGGAGTGTATAGTGCATTTTTATAAGGAGTATATGCTGACCTTTTAAAGGAGCACATACTGGTTTTTTAAGCAGTATATACTGACAGTTTTTTTGAATAAAAATCAATTTTCAGGTTTGAGTGGGAAATTTTGAGAAACAATAGTAGGTAGGTCTCTCAATAAATTTTAGGGAAGCAATATATAGTAAGGGATTCCGTAAGAAAGGCTTTAAATTTGTTGCTAAGTGTGGTGGAACTTACTTATTGTGCCATACTGGACTAGCGGGTGGTGGTTGAAGCTGAAGACTTTTGTCAGGTTCTGCATACCGGGGTGCTGCACTAGCAGGTTCCAGTCACTAAAGTTCTTCAGCGTGTTGAAGTTGTTAACAGTCATCTTCACACGCCAGTACTCCCGGTAGCTTTTCTTGATGTGCCAGTGCACCTGGATTGGGCACATGTGCCCAGTGCATCGGACAGCAGGCTCGGCCTTGGGTCCCTTGCACTGCGGCGCCATGGAAGTCACTGGGCAGGCGCCGCAGATGCAACGCTGACACTCCACGATCACGCTACTGTAGAACGCGGAGAGCGACACGCAGCAAGACTTCCGTGGGGCCGCCACTGTCTGTGAGTAGAAGCACAAGACCTGCCAAGTCACTGCATGTCACACCTAATCAGCTGATTAGTGTGCCTAGGTGCTGGCTGGCGGGCCCAGCCAGCTGGCCTGCCAAGTGGAGGCGTGGGTGCGTTAAGGGTGGCCGCCTGTGGCCGTGTGGAGGCATGCGTGTGTAGATCATTTTCTGTATCCAAACCTTCCTCTACAATCCTAACCCCCTTCTCCAAGCTCATCCCCCTTCCTCACCTGCTCCCTCTCACATACTCTAGATCGCCGATCCCCTCTCCGATCAGGGGCGTTACATTGGTATTCAGAGCCAAAAAAAATTTCCCCCTCGCCGCCGCTGCACCTTCTGAAGCTTGGGAGGTGGATCGGTAACATCCACCGCGCACGGTGCGAGTCCGCTCGCCGGATCTCGCCAAAAATCCGTCGCGGGGTTCGATCCCCTTTCAGGCAGGAGCAACGGCGCCCTCGAAGCCCTTCGTTGCGACGCGGCAAGTCCTGGAAGCCATGGAGGAAGGGAACGCCCACATCGCGAAGATGCTCGACTCCCTCCTCACCAAGCTCGACGAGCAAACCGCTCTCCGCGACAAGCAACTCGAGGCGCAAATCGCCTTCAACAACCAGATCTCGGCGGAGCTGCGGGGCCTCTCGTGGCAGCTCGATCTGACGCAGGCAGACATCGATGCGACCCGCAAGACCGTCGACGGCTCGACCTCACCAGCGGGCTCTGTCACCACGCTGGTACCACCACCACCACCGCCGCCGCCACCACCGCCTCCGCGCCATCAGCCCCCTCACGCGGAGCCCCATCGTCCCGCCTCTGCTCACGCTCGTCTGGGGGACAACCGACCACCACTCATTCCGGTTCCCCCTCTCGGTGCGCCCATGGCTGGGGTCACCGCGCCGCCGCCCAGCCCCAGCCACCCAGAGAGCTCCTACCACAAACCCCCAAAACACGATTTCCCCCATTTCGACGGATCCGCACCCTACCTATGGCTGGACCGTTGCTTGGCATACTTTGAGCTCTACAAGGTGGGTCAGCAATTTTGGGTGCCTACCGCTGCTCTATACATCGAGGGGCAGGCGGCGCACTGGCTCCAGGCGTTTCGCCAGAGTCACCGCAACCTGACATGGGACATGTTCTGCGTCGCCGTGCTCGAAGAGTTTGGTGCGGACGAGTTCGAGCTCACTATGCATCGTCTCCTTCAGCTACGGCAGACGAGCAGCGTCGCCGATTATCGCACGGCGTTTGATGAACTCATGTATCACCTTCTGGCGTTGGATCCCTCCATCAACAACAAGTTCTTCATCACACAGTTTTTGTTGGGACTGAAGGACGAGCTGGGCGCTGCGGTTCGTCTACAAGCCCCGTCGAGCATCACCCGCGCATCCATGCTGGCGTGCATTCAGGAGGAAGAGCTGGGCACAACACGTCCACGGGGCCGACCAGTTCCTCCAGGGCGTCCTCCTCCACCAACAAACGCGGCTCAACCGCGCCAAGCAGCAGCCCCACGCGCTGTCGGCGACGAATTCGCTCGGGAGCGCCAGTTGCGGGATTACAGGCGCGCCAACAACCTCTGCTTCAAGTGCGGCGACAAATACTCACGGGAGCACCGCTGGGCGCAACCGGCACAGTTGCTCACCATACACGTGGGGGAGCATGGGGACGTTCTCTCCGACGACGCGATCCATGCTCTCCAGCTCTTGGACGAGCTCGCTCCACCAGATCGGCCTGCGGAGTGCTGCGTTCTGTCAGCCCAGGCGCTGGACGGCTTCGACTCGCCGAGCACTATTCGCCTGCGCGCCTTGGTCGGGAACCAAGTCATGCTGCTCCTCCTCGACTCGGGCAGCACCCACAGCTTCGTCAACAAGAGCTTCGTCGACCGCATCGGCGCACAAACCTTTGCCGCCGATGGAAGTACGGGTCGCCAACGGCGATCGCCTCACCTGTGATCGCATCGTACCCGACCTGAAGTGGTGGATGCAGGGGCACACCTTCTCGACACCAATGCGCGAGCTCGACATCGGCGCTTACGATGGCATCCTGGGCATGGACTGGCTGGCGCAGCACAGCCCCATGACCTGCCACTGGCAAGACAAGTTCGTCTCATTCCTCCACGACGGCGAGCAAGTCACGCTGCGCGGCGTCAAACCCAAGGCCACCGAGACCCTGACGGCGGTGGAGCCAGCAGAACTTCGCAAGTTGATCGCCAGCAACGAGGTTTGGGCAATGGCCATGGTGGATGCTTGTCCGCCCGTGCAGACCAAGCGCAAGTCACCGAGCCAGACCCCACTCGCCGACCTCCTCGACGAGTACACCGATGTCTTCGCCGCGCCCCAAGGACTGCCGCCGCACCGTCAGTACGACCAAGCCGTCACATTGGTGGAAGGGGCGATTCCGGCCAATACTCGCCCCTACCGCTACTCTCCCCTGCAGAAAGACGAGATCGAGCGGCAGGTCCACGAGATGCTGGACTCGGGGATCATTACTCATAGCGTGAGCCCCTACGCGGCACCGGTGCTGCTCGTCAAGAAGAAGGACGGCACCTGGAGGTTTTGCGTCGACTACCGTCGGCTCAACGACGCGACGATCAAAAACAAGTTTCCCCTGCCGATCGTGGATGAACTGCTCGATGAACTGGCGGGCGCTACGGTCTTCTCCAAGCTTGATCTGCGGTCTAGCTATCACCAGATTCGAATGCGCGAAGAAGATGAGGCCAAGACGGCGTTCAAAACCCATCACGGCCATTTTCAGTTTCGCGCCATGCCGTTCGGCCTCACCAACGCACCGGCAACATTTCAGTGCCTGATGAATGCAATCTTTAGTAAGTACATTCGCAAGTTCGTCATCATTTTCCTTGACGATATTCTGGTCTTCAGTGAAACGATGGAGGAGCACCTGGAACATGTGCGCACGGTGCTGGAGTTGCTCCGGCAACACCAACTCTATGTCAAGGCCTCCAAGTGCGAGTTCGCCACCGACCACATCGACTACCTCGGGCATGTGATTTCACGTGAGGGCGTCGCCACCGATGCGGAGAAGACCCAAGCCATGGTGCAGTGGCCTACGCCAACGACGCCGACTGAACTTCGCGGTTTCCTCGGCCTTACAGGCTACTATCACAAGTTTGTGCCGCACTACGGCATCATCGCCAAGCCACTCACGCAGCTCCTCACCAAGAAAGGCTTCGAGTGGTCCGAGCACACCCAAGCTGCGTTCGACCTGCTCAAGCAGGCCATGGTCACCACACCGGTGCTCGCGCTTCCCAACTTCGACAAGCCGTTCGCCATCGAGACGGATGCCTGCGACACGGGCATCGGCGCGGTGCTCACTCAAGAGGGGCACCCCGTGGCCTATTTCAGCAAGGCGCTGGGTGCGCGTAACCAGAAACTCTCCACTTACGAGAAGGAGTTCCTCGCGGTTATGATGGCTGTGGACAAGTAGCGACAGTATCTACAACGCGGGCCGTTCGACATCCTCACGGATCACAAGAGTCTCTGCAATTTGGGCGAGCAACACCTCAAGACAGACGTCCAGCGCAAGGCCATGTCCAAGCTCGCCGGCCTTCAGTTTCGCTTCCTGTACAAGCACGGCCTCGATAACGGAGCCACGGATGCGCTCTCCCGGGTGGGCAAGCTCATGGACGTGGCCGCGCTCTCGATCTGCCAACCGGCGTGGTTGCAAGAGGTGGCTAACTCCTACGCAATGGACGCGGAGGCTCAAGAGCACCTCCAACATCTAGCCGTGTCCAGCCCGGATGCAGACGGTTACGAGCTCCACCGCGGCGTCATTCGTCGTCAAGGCCCGCTCTGGATTGGGGCGAACACAGCCCTGCGCACCAAGCTGATCGCCGCACTCCACAACAGCGCGGTGGGCGGCCACTCGGGCGTCACGGCGACTTATCACCGCGTCAAGAAGCACTTCAAGTGGCGTGGCCTGAAGAGAGACGTGGAGGAGTTCGTGCATCAATGCGCCGTCTGTCAACATGCCAAGCATGAGCACACCAGGCCGGCCGGCCTCCTCGCGCCTCTGCCCATTCCTTCGGCGCCATGGGAGGACCTGACGATGGATTTTATCGAGGGCCTGCCGGCGTCCGAGAGCTGCAATTCCATCATGGTGGTCGTCGACCGCTTCACCAAGTTCGCGCACTTCGTGCCACTCCGCCACCCCTTCACCGCCGCGACTGTCGCCCGCGCATTCTGGGACAACATTGTGAAGCTGCACGGCATCCCTTCGTCCATCGTCTCCGACCGCGACAAGATCTTCACTAGCGACCTCTGGCGCGAACTGCTCGAGAGCGCGGGCACCAAGCTCTTGTACTCAACGGCGTACCACCCGCAGACCGATGGCCAGAGCGAGCGGGTGAACCAGTGCCTGGAGATGTACCTGCGCTGCGCCGTCCACGATTCCCCCAGCAAGTGGCGCCGCTGGCTACCGATGGCTGAGTTCTGGTACAACTCAACCTTCCATTCATCTCTCCAGTGCACACCCTTCAAGGCCCTGTATGGCAGAGAAGCCAACTTGGGCACAATGGCAACCTGGGCGGAGGCGACACCGACCGGCGACGACCTGGACTGGGCAGAGCATACAGATGCCATCCGCGCCCAGCTGGCGCGTGCCCATCACCGCTTCAAGAAGCAGGCGGACAAGCACCGCGTCGAGCGCTCATTCCAAGTGGGAGAACAGGTCTTGCTGAAACTGCAGCCTTATGTGCAACGCTCCGTGGTCTCGCGCCCATGCGCCAAGCTCGCCTACAAGTTCTTCGGCCCCTACACCGTGCTTGAGAAGATTGGACCTCTGGCTTACAAGCTGGATCTGCCGCCGGACAGCCGCGTGCACCCGGTCTTCCACGTCTCCTAGCTGAAGCCGTTCACGCCGGACTACTCACCGATTTTCGCCGAGCTTCCCCGAGTCCAAGACCTGTCTGCGTCGACGGCAGAGCCTGTCAAGATCCTGGAGAGGCGTATGATGAAGCATGGCGACGCGCATGTGGTGCAGCTCAAGATACAATGGTCGTCGCCGTCCCCGGACTCGGCCACCTGGGAGGACTACGACGTGCTACGCCGGCGTTTTCCCACGGCACCCATTTGGGAGGGGGAGGCCTCTTCTTAAGGAGGGGAGAATGTCACACCTAATCAGCTGATTAGTGTGCCTAGGTGCTAGCTGGCGGGCCCAGCCAGCTGGCCTGCCAAGTGGAGGCGTGGGTGCGTTAAGGGTGGCCGCCTGTGGCCGTGTGGAGGCATGCGTATGTAGATCATTTTCTGTATCCAAACCTTCCTCTACAATCCTAACCCCCCTTCTCCAAGCTCATCCCCCTTCCTCACCTGCTCCCTCTCACCTACTCTAGATCGCCGATCCCCTCTCCGATCAGGGGCGTTACACTGCACAGGAACAAATAGAATGATGATGGTTAGAAATAGCCCTGCTGTATAGTAAATGAATGGCTGCATGCTTGAGAAGAAATAGTTCACTTGTATAGTAAATGAATGGTGTTTTTAGCTTCTCTTTACTGAACTTTGTACTGTTTCTTGCGCATTTACATAAGTACGATATCTTTTACCCAAAAGAATATAAGTATGATACTTCTAGATTCCATGTTACTAAGGCCTGATTAAAGTGGATTTGAGGTGTGCTTAATTGATCTGCTAGCTACACTCGTGTTTGAACAAATTAACGAGCTTTAGAAGCATAGTTCTCATGTGCAGGAGGCAGTGTATTTTCTCTGTCCTGTCGGCATCAGGTAGTTGCAGCCACCACTATCTGTGCAGTTGTTAGTTGTAACGCTATAGCATCTATTGGTTTGTGTCACAAAGTTCCGTCTCCGAGTATAGATTTTGCTGTACAGTGTAAATTATACCGCTTTTGTTTCTACCATATATTAAGTAATAGGTATAGCGTTGGTTAACTTCTCTCAATGGACGCCATCACCACGGCCAGAACGATTATCGAAGCAAAATACTCTATTAGTTTATGATTTTTATTTTAAATGAATTGTAACTTGATTTGATTTTGGTTGATTTGGGTGGAGCAAGCAAACTGTGTTTTTGACTATCACTCGTGTATTTTCATTGCCTGGTGTTGTGATATTTGTTAATTCCTATCTGCAAGACTGCAACTATACATTGCACAACAAGAATAATCAGATAAATGCTACGTATTGCAAGACCTCTACTAAATAAATTACACTCGCAAGTAAAAGACATACTCAGGGCCTGGATGTGCCGCTGCTTGTTGATCTGGGCCTGGATGGGGGCACCACTGTGGCATTGCTGCAAGTGTAACCTGGCACCCCAATGCTGAAATTGAATGGCATCTGGGGGCTGCCGTCGCTGGAAGGAGCAAAGTTGCCGACGGTCATCATGAACGTCGATGTGGCCGCCTTGCTGTTCTGCATGACCGAAGACAGGACACCGCCCCGGCAGCAGTTGGCGACCTGAAGGTTGTACGGCACGCCGGGGCCCAGGTCCTTCATTACAGGCCGCTTCTCGCAGCTGTGAGCACCGACGAAGCGAGTGCAGTTTCCCTGCTCGGTCGCCTCCGCGCCCTTCGCGTCCAAGATCACCTCATCGCCAGCCCAAAACCAGCTCAGCCGCCACCCTGGATCCTCGAGGTGGCGGTAGAGCTGGTAGTTCTGGAGACTAACCGAGACCTGCGTGAAGAAAATATATATTATGGTTAGCTCATTGATTTCTATATTAGAATACGCTAATGAGCTATTGAGCAAATACACGGAAGATAACATGGATGCAGTTGTTCATCTATATGACTGCCAGAGTTACTGAGCAAATAGGAGGCCACCTTAGTTTCATGATTCGGGATTCAACACCGGTTTGAGATTGAAGTCCGTGTTATAGAGATTATAGTGCTACAAAGTTCAGGCTGTCAAGATTCTTTACTTTATTTCTAGGCAAGAACGACACTAAATGGTTACCGTAGAATAGATCACTCACTGGATTAGATCCAGCTGACTCTGAAAGAGTGGTTCCCACAATCTTAATGTACTCAAGACAGGATCTGTTCAAGATATCAACAGTGAAGACTGGCCCACACAAGGCAATACTCGCAATAGATACTCCTATATGCCAGTCATGTGGAAACGGGCCATATAGAATTCCATGACAATGATTTTGCCATCGATAACTCTTATCAGACTGCTACTAAGTTCCCGAGAGGAAACTATTGGTCTATTGCAAACCAATTAAAAGACAGCAGGACAGTCAGAGCTAGCATGAATGCATTCTTTATGCAATAAAATCAGCTACAGTTGCAAAGCAGAGCACTTTAATGTTCTTCTGGTTGCTTCAATTTCATGATAGTTGCCTTTGTGCTTATCAATTCCATAGCTACAAACCTCATATATATGAACTGTAGAAAATCAACTACATTCGTTCACATGTTCTAAGAAGAAGCAGCTTGCATGTGTGATTATGCAAGAACGCTTCAAAATTTTAACTGAAGGAAGGGTGATCATAGTAATATTATTTTTAATGCGAATACATGCAGATAAATTAACAATCACATGTTAAAAAGTTAGATCAGAAAATGCTAAGTCTAGTTTTAACAGGAACAACAACACCCAATACTGATGTCTTACATTATTTTCCTTTTAGAGATGCCCAATCATCATGTCTTAAATAGTTACTCCCTCCTTCCATCTATATAGGGCCTAATGCGTTTTTCGAGGCTAGCTTTACCAAATGTTAGAGCAATAATATATGACATGCAACTTACACAAAACATATCGTTAAATACGTATGTTGTCATGGAATTGTCACGGCAGATGTCCTTTTGCAAGGACTTAGTCGTGGAGCCATCGCAACTAGGAAGCTTAAAGGGGTTAATCGGGACAAGGATACGCGAGGTTTATACTAGTTCAGCCCCTTACGGTGAAGGAAGGCCTACGTCTAGTTGGGTTGGAATTGCTTGAGGTTTCGATGACCAAGGAGCGAGATACGCTATGCCTGGCTTTCGATCAGTTGTTTCTCATCCTAAGCCACCGGCGGGTCGTCCCCTTATATACACGGGTTGACGTCCTGCGGCCTACAGAGTCCCGGCCGGCTCATAAAGAGTGTCCGGCTCGGCGACTAGTTACTTCTACCTTATAGTACAAGTTATACCATCATGGCGGTTTATCTTTACGGGCCTCAGAGTTGCCTGTGGGCCCTTAAGCCTTTTAGTGAACCGCCATCTTCATGCCTTGGTCTTGGGCTTCTGATGAACCTCTATTTGCGTAACCCAGCCCCTCCTGGATGGCTTATACAAATAGTCATATCCCCAACATTAGGCCCCAGATTGATTTGAACCGGTTCATGTCAATCTTTGGAAACCTTATGAACTGGCCTTTAGTCTTCTGTCTTGCCTGAAAATTGTAACCCGCCGTGACGTCATCCTCTGGTTCTGGGTTAAATCATCGTGACGTCATCTTCAATAAAACTTAAATTTTAATTCATCATATCTTCAACGGATCTTTGCCTTTACTGACCCTCCCGAAAATCGAGGCGTCGGGGCCGCTGGATAATGATGTCTTGGTCTCCTCGTTTCTCGCGCCGTCTCAGTCGGTCCTCCTTATAAATAGGCGCGACTAGGTCTTTTTCATTTCCTCCGGTCGTCTTCTTCCTCGCACTCCTTCTGCCGCTCGAGCTCCGCCGCCGCCACCGTCGGAAACCTCGTCTTCACCGACTAAGGCCGCTGCATCACCCTGTTTTTTGACTAGAGAACAACGGCAACCCTCCGCAGTTCTTCCACATCGGTGAGTTCTTTTTCCCCCCTTTCTCAGATCTGCATTAGTACTATCTTGAGTTCGTCGACGTTCATCGTCGCCCGACGCAACCTCCATTAGTTCTTACCTCTAATACCTTGTTCAGATCGTAAAAACCACATAGAACTGCTGCGGAGGATGTTGTGTGCTTATTCTGTATGAAAACAGATCCCATTTCCTTGTTTTGGAAGCCCTCCTTGAGTATATGAACTTCCCTGTACTGTTTTAGGTCTAGAAAATTTTCCTTTCCAGAGCATCGTTTGATCCAAAATAATAATTGCAATTTGTGAAACCTGTTTGCTCCACACTTAGCCAAAAACTGTGTCTGTTGACTCTGTTTCAGCCATAGTAGTCCGTGTAATCGGTTTAAGATAACACCGGCTGTCAGCACCGCTTGCTTCTGGCGACTTAAGAAAACCTTAATCATCTTTAATACCTGCAGCTGTTAAACATTATCACATAGTTACCTGTATGTCATTAGGCCCCTTCTTAAGCCGCCATCTTAAATAACCCAATAATGCTTATTCTCCAGGTTATAATAAACCGGAAAATTTCCTTTATCTTGTTGTAGGCTTCAATTTACCCAATGGCACCCAAAGCTGTTAAACCTCCGGTTACCTGCAACTGGGTCCCATCCATTGTTACAGAGAGCAAACTGTCTGAGTTTGTAAAGTCTGGCCATCTGCCCAAGAAGGATGTCATGTCTTATCGTGCTCCTGACCCGTCTGAGGAGAAACCTCAACCCAAGGAAGGGGAGGTGATCATTTTTACCGATCACATGAGCCGGGGATTTGCTCCTCCCGGTTAAAAATTCTTTAGAGACGTTTTGCACTTGTTTGACTTAAGACCTCAAGACATCGGGCCCAATTCCGTGTCAAATATCTGCAACTTCTAAGTTTTCTGTGAGGTCTACCTTGGAGAAGAACCCAGCCTACTTTTGTTCAGGGAATTGTTCTATTTGAACCGGCAGAATGAGCGGGCCAACGGGCCCAGTCTGGAGCTTGGTGGCATATCGATTCAAAGGCGGAGAGACTGCCTGTTCCGTTATGCTGAATTGCCGAGTCATCCAAAGGACTGGAACCAGACATGATTCTACTGCCAAGATACTTCTCCGGCTGGTGAAAACCCGCTGCCCGGCTTCCGTGCATTGCGCCTTGAATCTACTCACCCGCTGCCGGATAAGTTGACTGCTATTGAACGTCTGCCACTCACCCCCAAGATCAAAAAGATTAAAGCTCTTTTAGGGAACGGCTTAGATGGCATTGACCTGGTCCGAGTCTGGGTTGCTTGGAGAATAATTCCGTTAAGCCGTCGCCCCGGCTTATGTGTAATTATTCAGGCGAGAAAGATGACCCTCAGCGTCATAGTCCTGACGACTTACCAGATGACGTAGTGGAAGCTACAACTCAGTCTTTGTTGAAATAGGGCACAGTGAATAGTAACGCTTTCGGCTTACTACCTTTTTGCAAGAAGAACCCGGCCCCTGCAGTAAGTTTCCAGCCGTCGGGTTATTTTTTTATCATGTTATACTGTATTCTTACGCATAACCCTTTATAACCTTTTACAAGCAAATGATAACTTCTGGAAAATCCAATATGATCATGAGGCGGCCAAGCAAGCCAGGGCGGCCAAGAGAGCTGAAAGGAAAACCGCCAAGCCCACCACTTCAAGGAAAAGAAAGCCAAGCGCTTCTGAGATGTTTTAGCTTGATGATTCTGATGATAATGAGGAAGAGGTAACTTTTTAATTTTCCTTTCTCCTTTATCACTACCTTACTGATATTAACCTTCTTTCAGGAAGACACGGGCAACAGCCAACCCGTCGAGGAAGAGGTAACTATAATCTCCTTCGACTTCGAGCTTCGGCCGCGTCAGAAAATTCGAAGAGTAACCCGGAAAGTAAGATTTTCACACCCTTTGGCTTACCAAGATCCTGACTTTCTTTTGAAGCAACAGCAATTTGAAAACCGGAGGCAGATCCGGACCAGCAAGGATGCAGAGCTATCCTCCGGCTTGCCTGACACAACCCGGAAGCGTCGGACTGAGGTTATCTCCAACTTATACCCTTTTTTACCTTTGGCGGGTCTAATCCGTCAACCTCTCAATTCATCTGACTCCAACTACCAGGATACCTCTCCTTCATCCGGCGAGTCCATGCAATCAAACATGCCGGCTTTTAAGACTGCCCCTGGGTAATATCAATTTATTCACCTTATGTTTTTCTTTCTTCATGTTTCTTTACTCATTTCTCTGCTTTGCCCACAGCATGCAGGTTAAGCCCAGGAAGAAAACCAAGAAGGATAAACCGGCCCAAACCCCTGTGGTGACTGAACCGGAACAGGGTATAGCTGCTCCTGACTCTTCCACACATCAACCGCCGCCTGAGCCGGCTCAAGACATTGCAGCACCAACTTCTGACCCGCCTGCTGAAGGTATTCTTGATGGTTCT